CACATAGTAAGTGCACTAGGTCCGACAAATGTCAATGTGTCTATGATTGTACTCGATTTTAACGAAGTGCACTTACTTGATCATGTGATTTGTATCATTGATATTATTAGCAGTAATGGAAGCAATGTTATCAGTGGTAAACGTATTAGTATTAGTAACAATAGTACTTGTACTAGCAGCATTGTTGTGATAGTATTTGGTGTTGTTTTGGTTATGGTCGTGGAAGTAGTTAGTATTTCGTAGGATTCACTTTATTGAAGGTCGTGAATTTAGCATCTGATTTTGACTTTGTTAAAGTTGCTTCTAGTGATATTACTGTTGATGCTCCTGTCACTGACCATGATGAGTTTGAATTTGATTTTGTGTGTTGTGTTGAGTGAATAGTGGTGTTTGATTAGTTAGAGTGTTGTTGGAAATCGTTGTGCAAACAGTGAGATTGAGGTGAGTGGGATGTGGATGAACAGTGAGGTTGTGTTTGTGAATGACTATGTGATGGTGTGAAGTGGTGTGCATTTGCGTGACTTATGTTTGGTAAGGCTTCTTACGGAACTGCGTGTTCAAGGTGATCAGTATCTGCATGTGCATGCGTGTGTCCAAGTATGTATGGGGATGAGATCGAGAAAGAGGTAAGTATTGAGTCGTGTATGAGTTAAGAGTTGTGCTGTTTGTTTGCACGTGTTTCTGTGTGTGTCTGACTGAATGTATGACTGTTTGTCTGTCCGACTTTGTATCACGCACTACGACCGTGTGTTCAATGTCTTGATTATGCGATTGTGATTGACGAGTGTATCCGTGTGTGTTTGTTTGTGTGATTGTGTGAGTGGATGTTTGTGAGATTTTCTGTGTGTATTTGCGTGTGTTTGTGTGTGTGTGTGTGTTTGTGCATATGTTAATATGGTTTGTAGTTTGATGGTGCTGAGCGAACGGTATTGATAGTCTGTGCAAGTGATTGCATGTTTGTATGATTGGTTAGATGTTTACACTGTTGCATGTATGAGTGTGTTTGTATTGATGAGTCTGGATGAGTGGATGAGTTGGACTGTACAGAAGAGACAGTGATATTATGTACTTGATCGATTAGAAGGCGTATTAGATCGAGTTCGATTGAGTGAATCGTTTGTTGGTTGATTATGAACCTGTCAGAGTCTGTTATTTTGCATACAAATGGGATTTTTTCCGAGAAGACGATCTTATTCATTTCAACATCCAGGAGGGATAGTTATAAAGAAATCTATTCAAACAAGGTGTATAATCTGTTTAAGGATACTATCCTAACGATCAAGAAGCAAAACAAGACCAGTCTGAAAAATACGGTTCTACTAAAAAAATGAAATAATTTTTCAAACCACGATGTCCCAATAAATCCGCTACAGAGAAACTTTCGAGTAAAGATGAAGTCACAATATTGTAGTATGATCAAAAAATAGCGCGGGGATGAATCAGGCAGGAATATTAAGAAATATTCAAAAACTAACGTACAGTTAGATTTGCCGTCGTCCATCTAACATGTTCATGAACTCAATCAGAAGTTTACAAACACTATTAATTTTATCGCTTAATGAGTATTCAATACGTGTATACCCCGAAGCAAATCGATCGGTAGGAGAACTCCGAATCTTTTGGACACGTTTCTAAGACCTTGTGCTTAAGAGCAATAAATGTACAAGCAGTGATCCCCTGGGATCTAATTAACATATCACACTGAACTCCTAAGGTATGTAGAAAACAAGCACTAATTCGAAATTCTGAGTTCAAAAGCAGACGGTTGCTAATCTTCCTTTGCTCAGTTGACAAAACCCGTTTTTGAACACATTGCTGTTTTCTGAATCTATGGTTTTTAAACAAGCCGAAATTAGTTCTAATTACCACTACCCAGTGTTGACTTCATCTAATAACCACTGTAAATTCAAACCATATAGAGCTTCGTTAATACCTTGTCCTTTTTGTGACAAATGAAGCCTTCTGTAACATTTGTTACTGAAGTGTCGCATTTTAATAAAATTTCTTTAAACTTTGTTTTCAGAATTTCTGTTGCACTGTAACAACTTGTGTTCGCACAAAATCCTACGTTTAATTCTATAAGTATGGTAGACCCCAATTATAATTTCGATTCTGAAATATTGCAGATTTTAAGCACCTAATGATAATCTAATTAAATTGTTCAAATATCTTATCAAGATAATAAGACTACCTGCATCAAATGTAATCTAGTCTTCTTGGGTAACTGAACACTAACTTTTCAATCCATGTTGCAGAGATATACAGTGTATACCTACTCGCTGTGCCTAAAATACGCAAAGCTGTCATCCTTTGTAGCCATTATAAAGGTTGATTATACGGTTGTCAGTCAGCGTGTGTGGGTCTGCACACTTTTCTTTGAAACCACCAAACTATAATTTAAAAGCTTCATTAGACAAGGTTTCAAGTAGCAAAGTTGCATACTAACTAAACGATAATTACACACAAATGCGAGTTGGTCGTTGATATATTTCCTGTAAAATGATATATATTTTGTAAACATAATCACCGTAGTCTTCTTCAAAACCACAAGTAATTTAATGTAATGCACCAAAATTAGAAATAATTAGTTCGAAGGACTTACAGAAACAAGATTTTTGCGATGAAGAGTGACAACGAATGCCAAGTAATGAATTCTTGATGCAAAAACAGTTTTAAACTTCTCAGCATTTCAAATCATTAAAAGAATCGCGAAATAATGCCGATATTATTATACTTAAACCCGATAAAGGATCTGGTGTTGTTATTATGAATAAGTCAGATTACAAAAATAAAATGGAATCCATTCTCAGTGATAAAAGCAAATTTTTGGCTGATGTTGACTTTGATGGGTTACGTAAATTAGAAAAGAAAGTGAACTCGGATCTTGTGAAATTGTTAAACATGAATGCTATTAACAAAGATGAGTTTAATTTATTAAAACCTATGGGTTCGGCATATCCTAATTTATATGGATTACCGAAAATTCATAAGCCTAATACCCCCCTACGTCCAATTCTATCTATGTGTCGGTCACCTACACACAACCTGGCAAAATGGCTTACAAAATTATTAAACCCTATCAGAAATCAATATTACAAGTATTATTTGACTGACTCATTTGAATTAATTAATTACTTAAAGGATATAAATATAAAGACAATGTGCTCCTTTGATGTAAACACTTTATTTACAAATGTACCTCTTAGGAAAACCATTGATATTTTGTGTGACTTTATTTCTTCGAAAAACCTTCCACTACCTTTTCCTGTTAAAACTCTTAAAGATTTATTATTATTATGTACAGATAATGTAAAATTCACATTTGAAGGTGAACACTTCAGACAAATAGATGGTGTAGCTATGGGCAGCCCTCTAGGACCATTGCTAGCTGATGTGTTCATGGGATATGTGGAAAATTTAGTTGGGGACTCAATTCGAAAGATGTGTCTGTATAAACGATATGTAGACGACATAATAATCATAGGTGATAAAATTGAAGAAATAAGCCACTTGTTAGAAGAATTCAATAGTAGTCAAAACCACATTTCTCTTACATGTGAAGAAGAGAAGAACAACCAACTTCCTTTTCTTGACATCTTGATTACTAGGAGAGATGATGGTTCCATCAAACGTGCTATATATAGAAAACCAACATGGACAGGACAATATCTTAATTTTCATAGTCACTGCCCTATTCATTATAAACGTGGTTTAATAAAGAGCTTATTCAATAGAATCAATCGTATTTGTACTAGTGATACTATTGAAGTAGAGATGAAGCTCTTGACTGATGCGTTAATCAATAATGGTTACCCTTTGAAGTTCATAAACCGCTGGAAGGGTTGCAATATGACTAGACCTATGACGCTTCTGGCACCCAAAAAGCGAGTTTATATTACGCTACCATTCAGAGGTAACACAAATAGTCTCATGTTGAAACAGAGACTTAAATTAGCTATCAACCGGACATTTTATGCAGCCCAACTTGTCATTATCGAAAAGACAAGGTCTATGTTTCACCAAAAGCCCAAACAGCATGAAAACGATTGTGTCTATAAATTTACATGTATGTGTGGAAACACGTACGTAGGGAGGAGCAATCGTGATTTGCAATTAAGGGTGGGTGAACATATACCAAAATGGTTGCGAAATCAGATGAATTCCAATGGTGAAATAAGATCACAGGATAGACAGACATCATCATCCATTGCGAAACATTTGATTGAGACGGGTCATAAGGTTGATATCAAATCAGCATTTGTTGTGTTGTACAAAAGCCTTCAAGGACGTATACTAAGGTTTATTGAAGCCTTGGCTATACGAAAATTGAAACCCCCTTTATGTGTTCATGAACAATTTGTACTTACACTTAACCTACCCTGGTAGTACTGATTTACTGTCCAGAGTGGTAATTACATTTGTTTTTGTGTACTTTAATATTTTTCCTTTGTTATGACTTACCCTTAACCTATCTAGTTGACCTTTTAATTTTTCATATATAAATGTTCTTAACAAGTATATGTGTGATCAGATTGTTCGAAATGTATTGCGCAAATATATCACATAATTCGGATAAACTACGTCTTCTCATTGCATTATCCAAATTTATCAAAAGGACTAATTGTTTTAGATGTTAATATAGCTGTCAGTGTTCATAACCCACTGGGAAGGTATTTAGGAAACGTCAATTATTCACAGAATTGAACTTGGAGATCATGGAAATTCTGTTTATGTTTAAATAACTTTTATCTATTAGAGAATATAAGCTGACTTATAAGTTAAATAGGATGACTTAGCAACACACAATGTTACTCTAAATGTTTTAAGCAATTTTAAATAGTCTAGACAATTTTTGTTTCCTGATACTTATCACAGCTTAAATAGTGGGGTGCTACTAAAAAGCTGGAAGTGATACAGCCAAATGTAACCAAGCAATACCTGCGAGCCTTATTCTATACTAACAAAAGAGATTTAATGGAGAATTTGAAAAGAAATAAAGATAAAGTAAACAATTTAACAGTGTTTTATGGATTAACATACGCGTATATACACAATCATGAAAAGTGAATATGAAAAATAATTATGATTTTGTACAAACGAGAATACATAACTAAATACTTTAAATGAAATTCAAGTACGGAATGGAGCTCTCTGTATTCTATTTTTCAAAGATGGTGCCGGCGTGTTATTTACAGTACGTGAAGATTTCTATATTTTTAAAACAAGAAACAATTTTACAAATAAGATGTCTGAGAATAGTCTACCATGGACGTATGAATAAAAGTTTGCATATTAATTAACTAAAACGATTATGAATGATGGATAGCAAGATCTAATACTACTAAAATTTTGATCTGATCAACTAAACACCCTTTTTGTTTAGATCGGTTTGTTGTAACTTGATTATCCTGATGTGAATACAGGTTATAAAATACAATCTAAATGCATTGTTTCATATACAGAATTATGAGTATTTTGTTGAGAAACTGTCTATGATTGTTAGAAAACAATTTTAAATTTTAGTGGCCCGATATTTGACTCCAGTTAAATCGTATGCTGATTGCTCTCGGAATATACATGCCGCCAACCATCGTATACAACTATCGATTTCATTCACGTTATAGAATAACGGAATAAAATAAGCCAAATACGAGGATGAATTTTAAATATGCATATTTCATACACTCATTGGTTCAGACAGATAATCAAAGAAACGAAATGTCGAGTGAGCCAACTTGTTTTGGTCAAACGTGACTGAATATTCCCATTCAGACAAAAATAAATTACAAACACATAGTGCATAGGGAAAGCAACTAACAGATATACGATCATTTTAAAAAGTCAGGGTTAGTAAGTGACAAGGTCAAAATGTGGTTTCGGAAGAATGAATAAATTGGGCTTGATATAGAGTACCAGACATTAAAAAATACATCAACCGAAACAATTAATACAAAAGAAAAAAATGGATCAAGTAATTTATTGGACAACCCATACACCAAACCTTGGATGTCAAGATCTAACCTAAAAGACGGTAGAGTAACGTCTAAATCCAATCATTAAAGAGTTATAAAGTTTCTGCAGTAGACAAATGCATATTTAATTGACATTAACTTACCACAGCAGATCTAGGTGCCGTAGAGAGAGGAGAAAGGAAAGAATTATCACTATTGTTTTGTATATTTTTCACCTAATAATTAACAAAATAACAACAGGAATTCAATTTTAGGTAGAATGAGGGAACTTATCATTCAAGTTGGTATGCTTATTAATTACTGATCTGTAAACACTAACAACTTGGCATTCTCATAAAAATTTAAAGTCAGAGAGTATGATAATACACGTCTATACATTGTGATTGAGAATTTTAAAAACAGATAAGCTTGTAAATCTCCAGGTAAGGATAACGGCAGGAGAGTCTACTTTCCCTCTAGGAATTCTTTTGTAAACCCATGCGTTTATAGTTTCTATCAGGGATGTCTTATTTACTGTCTTTACGTGGAGAGGATGTTGTTCACGTGAATCAACGGACATAAAGCGTGCGTCGGACTCATAAACTGAGTTACTGAATACGGAAAATTTACCTATAATTGGAAGATACTGACAACAAACCTACGGTGAACATGGGTCCCAAGACCTTGAGGAAACAAATGACGTTTGAACCTAATTTTGATCATCGGCTATCATAAGACGGGATCTCCTAATACTGCTATGTGGGTTAAACCTCTAGCCCAAAGACTTAAGAAGTGTCTAACAAAGGGAAATTAACTTTTGCGGTTTAAGAGGTCAGGTAATATCTCAAGCCAAATAAAAATATTTGTCACACAATATTATTGATACCCAGTTGTACCAAATTCTATGTATTCAGTAAAATATTAAATAGACAGACAGATATATAGTTTGATTTGTACAAAGATGTAGACAGTGAAGGCAGCGAGCATGAGTCCATACGTAGTTTCGAAATAGTTGTCATGCATTGCTTTAATTACTAAGTGGATTAGATAGAAAACCATAACCCAAAACTTGGATTTGTTTAGCGTCATGACATAATATTGATATAAAATTTATGTTTAAAGTATCTGACTTTCAATCATAGAAACATATTTGCAAATGATTATCTGCTTTAAAAAGAAATGATTTTGTGCACTACTGAAAAAAAAACTAAATTCAACTCTTAACGATGTGAAAATGCAAATAAATTATGTTAACGTTTACAGTAAATAACAGTAAAATGTGAAATCTTATACCTGTAAAACACGTAGTGTTGAGCAGACTTTCTTTCCACTCAGTCTTGCACTTCGACGTTTTGTAGATATAGTTGAGGCAATTTTTTTCTGAGGTGAACTCGACGACGAAACACAGGAAGTGACTGGAGTTTGAACTGAAGATTTGGCCTTTGTTATAGGCGTGTGAACTGATGACAAAGAATCTGTAGAACCAATTCCATGTAATGAAGCCATACTAGAACAAGCCAAAAGTGGCGATTGCATGGCATTTAATTTGGAATTGCTACTGAATGCTGCTATAGTGGACTGATTTTTTCGAAAAATAAAAAAAATATTTACGAAATTCTCTGAAATCACTGAACATGACTGACTATTCAGTACACTCCAGATCTTATCAGAAATGTAAAGTGATTTAGACACCGTATAAGTGTATTGCACATCTAGCGAACAGCAAACAGGAATTTTCTTAAAATGAGTTCAAACAACTAAGTAGTTCAGATCGCCGCTTGAATATAATTAACAAAATGATATACTATGATTTAAATGAGTACATTAACTGAAAGCGTCAGGAACAAAGTACTTTCATTCTCATTTTGACTAAAATGAGTTAACATAGGACGGACGATTTGATACAGGGAACTGACTTCCATACATCACCAACTTATTAGCTAAGAAACCCAAGTTGTCATTTAACCCGACGCGATATGACGCCCAGTGTATAGGAATAGTTGTGAAGATAGATACATAGAGAGAAAATATTAACTGGTATCGATTTATAAGATCAGTAGTTACTGGTCTGAACAAATTATAGATATTTACACTTCTTGGTTGCAGTCTGTATGATCGTGATGTCTACGGATAAAAGGCGGGTAACAGAGATCATAATCTGTAGCACGAGTATATTTGCACTGATTCTATATCTATTTCTAAATAATAAGTCATAGCAACATTTCGCACCTTTCATTTCACGAATTCATTCATTATTTTCGAACTATATTTTTTATGGTTGATTTCCTGCTGCCAATAGCAGTATTGAGTTGACCAATTTGCTTTTTGGTATGAAGTTGAAATGTATTGTACAAGCTACTACAAATTATTTATAAATGGCTGACTCAGGTTAAAACCTGAGCAACAAAATTAATCAAATTATCAACATGTAACGCTACGAAAGTATGAATTCAAACCTGATTGAATAACTGTTAACAAATGCAATAGAGAATTGCATATACACTAATAAGACTAGAAAAATCCTTTGACATGAACTGCTTCAGGACTGGGCTGCGTCAACACCTGAACTAAGGATAGGGAGTGAAGTAGTCGAACGAGTTGACAACTTCACTTATCTTGGAAGTCTGATCAGCCCTAATGGGTTGGTGTCTGGCGAAATCTCAGCACGGATTCGAAAAGCTTGTTTGGCTTTTGCCAACTTACGTCACCTATGGCGAAGGCGAGATATCCGTTTATCAATAAAAGGATGAGTATACTGCGCAGCAGTCCGTTCTGTTTTACTTTACGGCAGCGAAACATGGCCTTTAAGAGTAGAAGACACTCGTAAGCTACTAGTATTTGACCACAGATGTCTTAGAAATATTGCTGGCGTCTGCTGGGATCACCGGGTGAGTAATAGTGAGGTTAAACACAAGTATTAGGGAACGATGGTAAATCAGTTGATGAGTATGTTAATCTTCATCGACTGAGATGGTTGGGTCGCGTGTTACGTATGCCCGAACACCAAATACCACGACGTGCAATGCTAACCGGTGTTGGAGAAGGTTGGAAGGTTAGGGTCGGCCAAACCAAAACCTGGCATCAGTGCTTGAAGTCACTAACTTCTAGTCTGAGCCGTATTGGGAGATGCAGACTACTTGGTTGGGGTCCGCGTGACTGTCGTAACCAATGGTTGAAGACTCTTGGTGACATGGCACAGAATCGGTCACAATGGCGTCGGTGTATACACTCTCTGTCTTCTCTTAAACTAAGAGATTAAAATTGCTTCATATCTTTCTTTCTACGAATTCTTTCTTCCTGTACTATATCCTTATTTGCAATCTTTCTTTTATATATTACCACCTCTGAATTAACCACTTATATGAATCTGGTGTCCATCTTGTTGTGTTAATGAGGTATGGCAACTTGGACCGATGCATATATGTGCCTGGTCCTACATTGTAGCTGACTGACTTGACATGAACTGAGATCAAAATTGAAGAAATAATTTTATACATAATAGTTTTTTTGGTTGTTTTATATTCTTCGAGAATACTAGAATTGATGGTGTAGCAGCAAAATTTAATACTACTAAACAGTGTAAATAATAGTTATATGAACACATGCTAATCAATTGTAGGCACAAAATTGTGTATCATATTCCATGACTAATGACTTGATAGCAATGGTACCAAACTTTCAGGTTATTAAAACTACTCGACTGTATAAATTGAATTAATAGGAATTGTGATGTTCAACTGTTACGAACGTTTTTATTGTTTATGTTGTGAATTTTAAAAAACAGAAAGAGAATATGGCAGCTCACGTACAATTTAGTTTGTTCACATTTAGTTCGGTTAAGCCCTTTTGTTAACGGAGAGTCATCCGTAAAATAAAAATTTATCTGTACCCTTGTACTTTTATTATTGTTGCACTTGTATGAATATGTATGCTTACTGTCTACACCTATATTCATTCTGCTAGCCTTACTATTAGTCACTTAATTGATTCTATCATTCATTCGTTTCATATATAATGTGCATTTTAATCCTGTCCATTGATTCGCCAACTCCCTCACTCGCTTGCATTTCCGTACTAGTCTTTCATGTTTGCTTAGCGTACCTTTAATTTTGGTTATCTGTGCGTGGTGCAATAATATATTTAATCAAAACTTCGTATTCGCCTTCTGATTAATACATCGTTGAAGCATTTTCTAAAGACAATTATCAGGACAAACTGTACATGAGGTTTAAGGATGATATTGAACACCAACCACCACAAGAATAAACCAATGGATTTGAACGAAAAATGTGACAATTAACCACTTACATTTAATAAATCTGTACGCGGTTTCTTTCCACTTATTGGAGTAAGTAGAGTTGACTTATTCGCATCAAAAGCTCTCTTAGCACTATTTCCAACTTTAATAAAGGAACTAGATAGATTTCCTGGATTTCTATGGTGTGGAATAATAAAAACATGAAGCAATAATGCAAAGACAAGAAACATTTTCACTAAAATATATGATTGATAATATATAAAACATGAACTAGTTGTAATTAATACTATGAAATCATAGCTCTTAACCAACGCTTGAGTCTGTATACGTTTAATCTTATTAAGACCTTCAATGAACTTATGTAACAGATTGTGTCATTTGAAGAGTAATAATTTGTTCAAAACATTTCCTTTACTGAAATGTAAACATTCTTTTTATAATTTCATTGAAATCATGAACCGATCAATGTTAAGGCACTAGTGAAAACCTGGAAGCATTGAACGGCCATTTTGTCCTAGCATGGTACTGCTCAGCAGTGAACATCCACGATTCCGCACACGAGACTGAAACACATGACCTTCAGTCTCTCGTGGATTATTTGTGTTCCTAGCTTGAATCCTGTAGCTAAGAAACATGTTTATTTTCACTTGTTTTTCAGGTTAATTTGTTTTCAGGAAAACAAGTAACTATGATCACAATAAACTTGTTTATAAGAAGGGACTTCCCAATTTTGTCCGATTCGTTCGCATGTACAGTTTATTCACCATTGAAACCCTATACTACACCATTTTGGAATTATACGTATTTCATCTGTACAACAGTTGACATTTAAGTCATATTCCAACTTATTCTTAGTGGGATAATCCACGACCCCGTAGGCGGGACTCGAAGCCTCGACCAGTGGATTTCAACCATGTTTGTTGTGAAGTAGTTACTGACAATGGTGGACGGTCGCTCAATATCTTGGATTGGTGGGAGTTAGACATTAACACGGTTGGATGTCGGCTCACATGTCTAGAGGTTAAACGTTCGCGCGCAAGACGAAACGGCCGTCCAGTGTTCCCAGGTTCTTAATGGTAGTCTAGCAGTGATCCATTCATGATATCAGTTTAAACTTAGCAATCTCCACAGCCCTAAACTGATAAAAATAGAAAGGGTGGAAATTAATGAATTTTATTCCCCACCATCCCGTCCCATACGTGTTATAGCCTATACATATATCCCTCTTACTACCATAAATATTTGATGTTTATATCACTCATTCGCTTTCCTATATATATGCACTTGAATCTTATAGATTCAATCGTCCCTATTCGCTCGCATCCATATTTCTGCTCGTATTCGCTGTTTGTTTGTGATCCGCGCTGTACAGTAATAAACTGTATTCAATACTTTCTATTGTCTTCTAAAATTTACACACCGTTGTGAATTATCTAAAAACAGTTAGCAAAACGAGTGATATACAAATTTCTAATAATTATCTCGAAGACATTCTACTACAAAATAAAAACGTTCACAAGTAAATCTGAGTTACTGGGATATTTCTGTTCTGTGACAGTTATTGATGTTATTTGGATATCTAAAGACTGAATGTAAGCGGAATAGTAATTACGTTTGAGACAATAGTGAAGAATGAAGTAGTCATAATGTTGGACTACAGTTACACATATAAAAAGGTATATTTAACAAGATAATTTGCATAGTTTTGAAATTTCTATGTTGTATTTATAAAATACTAAAAGTTAGCTAAATGTGATAGTTGTAAATCATAGGTCTAAACATCGATTTCCCAATAATTTTACGTTTAGATTGTTGTTATCACACTCGGCTGAGACAACACTGTGTTAGTTTTTACGATAATATAGTATAACAAAAACCAGGGCAAAATGTAATTGAAACTCCTATAACCAGAAACGGGAAAATACGGCATGAAACGTGGTACAACAGATCATTTAACAAGTTAGTAAACACAGAGAAAAAGTGACAAACGGGTAAAGTATTAAGATTAACTAACTGATTTTCTTTTTCTATTCTACATTGATGTTCGGAGAAATCCAAGTAATCAAGAATTGATAATCCATGAACTGTTACATTTGGGTAATTCATAGAAAGTTCTTTTAAGATAGAATACTGACGACTGAGATCACGCTTTAATTGTTTAATTTCTTTATCAATAACCAACAAAATCCCGCCTCGGTTTTTTAAAACGGAAGGATCTTTCATTTTTTCCTTAAAAAAGAACAGTTATTAGTATTTAAAAATATTAAGATATTTAAGAGTTACGATAACTGACTAGTTGTCTGGAGCTTAAGGTACGATGATTGTTGAAACATCCTGCGTGAACTATAAAACTAAACCAATAAAGCAATAAGACTGGGAATGTAAAGTCTCGTAACTCTTTCTCGAAAACTGAGAAAATACACAAACTGTTTTGGACAAACAAGTATGCGAAAAATACCTGGTAATTCCTTAAATGGCTTCTATCAGAAGCCCATATACAAAGAATTGATCGGAATCAAGAGTTATCGACAAACCATGGTGTCTGGTGAGTCAGTCAGTCATCTACAACGTAGGATCTCAATAAAACCAAGTTTAGCAAAATAAAATCCTATTTGTGGTCTTCCCCAACGACAAAAACCTCCCAAAGTACACGAAGCTTCTAAGTCAAAGTCTTCTAAAACTCATCGATTCATGCTTACCAACATATATTCAGTTCAACAATAATATATACAAACAAACGGAAGGGAAACCGATGAGATTACCAATATCAAAACTTATTGCAGAAGCAGTGATGCAGAGACTGGGAGTATCGATTTTACCGCTGACCATTTCAAAATTGTAGACTTTTTATGTGAACGACAGTTTCGTCATCACTAAAGAGGACGAGCTAGGAAACAACCACAAACTGGTCAACAACATCTTCGATGACATAAAATTCACGATGAAAAAGGAGTTGAACAACAAACTATCATTCTTGGATGTATTGATCACCAGGACCGACACAGGAAACCTGGAGACGCAAGTACATCGTTAGCCGACCAACACAAATTAACTAAAGTAATAACGAAAAAGGATCTCACAAAATCAACTGCGTACAAACTTTATGCACGAAGGAGAAAATACACTGCAGCATACTTGTAGCGCGGAAAAATGAAGAAAAATATCTAATGGCCACCCTTCAAATGAACAGCTATCCACTCAAGTTCACTAAAACATTTCAACCCAACTCGTCAGTAAAGAAGAAATCGAATACAGAAGCCAACAAAAGGGTCATCCTACCATATGTATATAAAATATCAGAAAAATACGAGATTATTAAAGCCTTTTGGAATAGGAATAGTACATGAACCAGCAAAATCACTTCTATTAACCTTATGGCAAACCAAAAGACGAAATGACAAAAGAGAAACCGATCATCAACAAAACAAACTATCCAAATGTGAAAAATACCGTACCGGACAAGGTGGACGACTCCTTTATCTTTGCTTGCATGGACATCGATTAGCGGTAAAACTCCATGATATATCTTTGCATATATCAATTCATGTGAACAACTGTGGACACAAATTCAACTAGACAAATGTTGAAATCCTGTCTTGAACTAATACTAAGAACAGCAGGCAATTTTCAGAGGCTTGACACTCAAGTCAATCAGCAATCAACGAACACACCGAAATTGAACCAATCTATAAACCAATTGGGGAAATCATAGACGAATTTAGGACAGAAAATCAGTTAAAAGGGAGATACGACCAAAATAAACAGGCCGAAAATGAAAGGTCAAAGAACAACAATAACCAATAAAATATATGTCGACAAGACAAGCTGAGAGTCATATGTGACGAAATCTGCATAATTCATTTCTACCTGAAGTTCGTGCTGATAATATAACCAAAGCTCAACGACCACACCATCTTCCTCAAAAACGAAACTCTACCAAAATGCAACTGTCATCCAACATCAAAGTCAGAATCTTTAATACAAACGTCAAGACAATTCTATTATACGGAGCTGAAATGTGGAAAACTACTACAACCATTATTAAAAAGGTACAGGATGTTGTTTAAGCAAGATACTCAATATCCGTCGACCAGATACTATCAGCAAAAACCCAAAATAACAAACAAATCAGCCCCCAGCTGAAAAGGAAATTAGAAGATGCGAGAGGTGGGTAGGACATATACTGAGGAAGCAACCGAACTGTATCATGAGGCAACCCCTAAATCAGAATCCTGAAGGAAATAGGAAAAGAGGAAGAAAAAGAAACACACTGCATCAGGAATTGGAGGTAGACGTCAAAAGATTTGATAGCAATTGTAAACAACTGGAAAGGATTGACCACGACAGAGTTAGTTGAAGAATCCTGGTCTTTGGCGTATGCTCTACAAGGGATAACAGGCATAAGTAAGCAAGTAATAGGTTACAACAAAACGTTCCAATGACTTTTTTCCCACTTTTTAGCTTGCCCGCAAAAGCCTGGGTGATATTACAGTGAGTTACTCATTTCGAATGGATGCAGAAATTTTACCATAGCTCATGTCATTTTCAGTCAACTACATAGAACATTTGTAAACGTATACATACTACAATCTTATGTATTTTACATAGCAATTCCCTATAGCGACGATCAATGTTCTCATTTTCGATTTCTAAATAAGAATACCATGGACGTAACATAATTCATGGGTGTTCAGCCTCTTCTACGAAATGGTACCTGTAAACGTGCCAAAGCATTTCTTCATTATACAAATTATTCACTTATTCTAATAAACAATGTCATTTATAATACGCTAATCTAATTTTAATTGTAAACAGCAATCAGGTTGTCAGATATGGAAAATGTTTAGGAGAAAGACTACTTTTGTTAATTTTAGTAACCTGGTCATTTAGTTAGTCAACTACAACATAGGATCAGGAACATACATGCATCAGTCTAATTTGCCATACCTCATTAGCACAACAAGACGAATACCAAATTCATAGAAGCAGTTACTTTAATGGTAGTAATATAAAAAGGTTGCATATAAGGGTATGCCTCCGGGGTTACTGCTGGTCCCAAACCCGGATAAAGGAGGAGGGTTAGGTATGGAGTTAGTGACCCCACCCCATAAAAAACTAATTAGCTAAAAAACCCCAACCAGGAGAAATAATCCAAACCACTTAAAATCTGCCCTAGGAGTTAGAAGGTCTTCATGTAGAAGAGCTACGATGTCTCATGACGAAAGCCGAGTTCCTTAGGAAGTCACGAGTCGGATGCTCATTCTATAACACAGGCATATTTATCGGCGTCCGACAATGGTGGTCTTCACTTAAAAGCAGCATTTGACTCCGTAAACCGCGAGATTCTGTGGCATTGTCTGTCATCGAAAGGCGTACCTCAGAATTACATAAACCTTGTGAAGGATTTTTACTCGAACACTACTAGTCGAGTCAGAGCTTATGGCGAACTGTCATCTGTTTTTGCAACCTCAAATGGTGTCCGTCAATGATGTCCACTTTCTCCATTTTTGTTTAACTTCTTCATAGACCTATTGATGGAATTTTCGGGTATTGATCTCCTTCCAGGAGGTCCACTTATCGACTTACAATACGCAGATGAAATAGTCCTGTTTGGTGAAGACGTTGATAAAATGCAGTCTTTTGGTAGCACTAAGCAACAATGCCAGAATGTTTGGAATGCGCTTCTCTCCCTCTAAATGCAAGCTGCTGCTTCAGGACTGGTCTGAGTCAACACCTGAACTAAGGATAGGGAGTGAAGTAGTCGAACGAGTTGACAACTTCACTTATCTTGGAAGTCTGATCAGCCCTAATGGGTTAGTGTCTGACGAAATCCCTAAACGGATTCGAAAAGCTTGTTTGGCTTTTGCCAACTTACGTCACCTATGGCGAAGGAGAGATATCCGTCTATCAATAAAAGGATGAGTATACTGCGCGGCAGTCCGTTCTGTTTTACTTTACGGATGCGAAACATGGCCATTAAGAGTAGAAGATACTCGTAAGCTAGTATTCGTCCAGAGATGCCTCAGAAATACTGCTGGGATCACCGGGTAGGTAATAGTGAGGTTAGATGCAGGGTATTAGGGAATGATGGTAAGTCAGTTGATGAAGTTGTGAATCTTCATCGACTGAGATGGTTGGGCCACGTGTTTGAACATTGATTACCACGACGTGCAATGCTGACTAGTGTTGGGAATGGTTGGAAGTTAGGGGCGGCCAAACCAAAACGTTGCATCAGTGCTTGAAGTCACTAATTTCTGGTCTGAGCCATGTTAAAATACTTATTTCTCAAGGTCTTGTCACGTCAGGCAGGTCGACTGGAGAATGATAAGTCTAAAAGTAGCAACTTAACGAGTATTATCAGTCCAGGGATTAGACCAAACAGAGATAATCTCGAATGTTGGTGGTTTTACAAAATTTTGAATTTTGAAAATCTTTAAATTCAACCACAGTAAATCCGTTAGTACAGCTACGATGCTCATGATCGATCTTGTAGTGTAAAAATCAACAATACTGAGCGGATACCAAATGTTGATGAAGACAATGAGTGAATGAAAACTGAACATCTTAATAAAGTAAGTTAGACAGAAGTGAACAACGCAGTACTTAACACAAATATATATTGATTCAAATTACAATTGGAAACGGAACCATAGAATAACTAATGTTTAGAAAATCAGATTGTAGCACTGTTAACCCAAGCCTTAAACCCCGAATCATATTCTCGTTGACTCAACGACAAAATTCACAATTAACCTTGTTTGATCCATATTGTGACACGTTCACGCAAACTCATATGTTGACGATGACTGATGCGATTAAATTTATCATTTCGCTTTATATTGAAACCCGGCAGGTGCAAGACTTTATTTAACTTCAAACAACATCTTACGTGAAAGTGATTATACATGTAACCAACCCGCTAAAGATCCCTATTCTGAAAAAAAATCAAATTTAGTCTAAAGCATTTTCTCGTCGATTGTTATCATAGTGGTATTTAGCATTAGTTACTGAATATGGGGCTCTTCTATCGACTTTTCCTATATGAAAATGTAAATAAACGTGGAGAGGTGGCTTAGTGATTAAAGCGTCCGACTTGAAACCACAAAATCGCGGGTTTGAACCTCGCTCAGTCTTTGATTGAAGCACACGGATCCTTACACTTAAAATTTGTATCCTACACAAGTATCTGGTTACAATTCTTTTATTGTGTAACCAAGTAAAGTCCTCATTCGAATAGATATTCCGAAAAACTACACTGGTTTTCAAACGTTCAGTCTTACTTACATTTATAAAGATTTTCACACGTATTAACTCATACAAGTTCAACTACCCATGAAAAGGTGAACATACCGTCGATAAGACAAATAATTCAACTTAACAAGCACTAGTTAATAACGTTAAGTCAAACTGGTAAGAACGTCCATTAAAACTGTATTAACTAACGATATATGTAGATAGATCAATATCACCTTTTTTATTGATACATTTGGTCTACACGAATCAGTGTAACTCACAAAGTGAGGATTAGCTATTAGCTATTCCATTCATATTTACTATGTCACTGACTTAAACCGCTGTCTTGTCCATATTACAGAGAGAACCCTCTTAGATCCTAACTTGAGTTAGAGTGAGATACACGCTTTAAATAAATACCTTTGTGAAAATGTGCTAAGTAATTTGCGTTGCAACGTATTAATAATGAAACAAAAAATACCTATGAATAAGGAAAATGAAATTCAATAAATATCTGCGCTTAAACATTACAGCGCGTAGAAATGGACAATAGCCGAACATAAATATATAAAGATTGTTACCAGAATTACAAGCTAGGTTGTGAGAATATTACTGTCAATTATCCAGCAAAATACTAACTGAACAGAAAGATATAAATTACGAGTCTAAACGTTACAGGGAAAATTACAAACTAAAAATACACTAAGTATTTACCTCTGACATTCGAAGACGCGATAATATGCACTGCCACGTTTCGATTGCCTTGAAGAGTGGTTCATTTTCCAAGTAAAATGATTTCCATTTTGTTATCTAAAAGTTTTTATTTTAATACTTAGTAAATTTACTTCAGATTCAAGCGATATAAGTAGTGACTCGTTTAACTCTTGGCCTTCAGAAATTAAATATGATTGACGAACATCTCGACCAACAAGGCAATTTTCCCACCATACGACTAACTCAGCTTGACACTTTGAAATAATAGACGCTAAACTTCTTAGTTGCAATTTTTTCAGACGATTGAGTTCTTCTTTCAGCTATAAGAAGAGAAACATTCAAAAAAAAGTTAGATATACCTCTTATCAACAGTAAATTTAAAAAGCTACGGAACATGATCTAAAAAGAGCCATGTTTTTAATAGTTTACGATGGTAGATTGCATAATGAACCATGGTATTTAAACTAAAACAGTAAAGGCGCGGTATATTCTAACCTATGATACAATAATTTAGAACAGCGCTGATATTGGTCAAGAACAGTCCGATTAACTTCATGCAGACATAAAATCTTAGGCATTTACACAAATTCTTTGAAGGGCAGTTCAACTGGCCTGCTGCTCCGGCAACATCGGTCAGACTGTCCTGCCCTCCATGGCCGGTGACGACTGATCCACGTAAGGAGGCGGAAGTTCGCAAGGAACTTCAACTCTTAAAGCACTACGAATCACTTGGCCCAGATGACTTACCTCCGGCTCTTTTTAAAGATAACGGTGACTTTCTGGCTAAGGAACTGACGACGTTGTTTACAAAGGTCTGAGAACTAGAAAGTGTACCAACGTCATGGAATGAGTCGATAGTTGTCCCTATCTTTAAAAAGGGTTCACGTCGTTCCTGTAACAAATATCGGGGGATAAGTCTACTTCCGATCGCGTCCGAACTATTGTCTTGTCATACTTAGTAGGTTGTCCAAAACCCGAGAAAGATTGACTCGCGAGGAGCAGGCTGGGTTTCGTTCTGGTCGAGGATGTATTGATCATATCTTCACCCTCCGCCAAATGTTAGAACATCGCCATTCTTATCAAAGGCCAACGATCGTAGTGTTTCTTGACATCAGGGCTGCCTTCGATTCGTTGGACAGGACTGTTCTCTGGGATTGTCTATTGAAGAAGGGTGTGCCTGAGAAGTTTATTAACATCCTAAAAGCCCTATATACAAACACCTCAGGCAGAGTGAGGGCATACAACCACCTCTCTCCATTGTTCCATTCGAGCAGTGGGGTTAGGCAGGGTTGCCCAATCTCACCATTCCTCTTCAACTTTGCCATCGATGACATTCTGGAAACAGCTCTGATGAATGTAAGTAATGGCGGTGTGGATCTGTTGCCTGGAGAAAGACTTCTCGACCTTGAGTATGCGGACGATATTGTCTTACTGTGCGATAATACCCAAGGCATGCAATCCGCACTTAATCAGTTGGCAATCAGTGTCCGTAGGTATGTGCTTTGCACCTTCGAAGTGCAAAGTACTTCTACAAGACTGGCAGGATTCCAATCCTGTACTCACCCTGGATGGTGAGCAGATAGACGTAGTCGAGAAGTTCGTGTATCTGGGTAGCTGCATAAGTGCTGGTGGGGGTGTGAGTGATGAGATCAATGCACGAATAGTGAAAGCCAGAGCGGCTTATGCCAATCTGGGCCACCTTTGGCGCCTTCGTGATGTCAGTCTGGCTGTAAAAGGTCGGACCTACAACGCGTCGGTGAGAGCAGTTCTGCTCTATGCTTGTGAAACCTGGTCTCTCCGAGTTGAGGACGTTAGACGACTCTCTGTGTTCGATCATCGCTGTCTCCGAAGGATTGCTGACGTTCAGTGGCAACACCATGTCAGTAATGCAGAGGTTCGGCATCGTGTGTTCGGGCACAGAGATGATAATTCAATTGGTGTCACCATCTTGAAACACCGACTTCGGTGGCTTGGACATGTTCTACGAATGTCGTCCCAGAGAATTCCATGTCGTGCATTATTTGCCGACTCTGGGACTGGTTGGAAGAAGCGGAGAGGTGGTCAGTGCATGACATGGTGTCGTGGCATGAAAGAAAGCTACAAAGGGCTGGATTTTGTTGGTAATTCACGACTCCCTGGTTGGGGTCCGAGAGATGGTGCAACACAGTGTCTAGAGACGTTACCAGATATGGCTCAGAATAGAAGCCAGTGGCGATCTTGTTGTAACCTTCTTTTACTTTCTTCATAAAAAGTGGTTGTATCTTCCTTAACTGAAAGAATTCTTCTGGTTGTACCTTTCCGTTTCCCCCATTATTATTATTACTATTACACTTCCCTACACTAATCTGTTCTTTTCTTTTTTTCTTATACGCACCTTACCTTCTTTTGTCTCTTCCTATTCTCATTGTTATGTGTGGCGCTTATATATCTGGTGCCCCCTTGTACCAATATTTGTGTTCGAATAAATAAATAATAATAATTTTACACCAATCCTTTGCAGAATTGCACGCCACCAACATTGGAACATACTCTAATCAATCATTAGGTAAAGCTTAAACGGTCTAATAGCATAGACCTCAAACTTTATAGACATTCAAGTCTAACGGTTAAAGACAAAACATTTAAATAGATCCAAAAGTCGATAATACGGTCGAACTAGTGACTAATGCTCGTTAATACAGTTCAACATAGTAGGCTCCTTGATCAGATTAGTTCTCGAGGTTTTTAATCAGACACTAAACAGAAGTAAACAGTCGTTCACATCACAATTCCACAGCGCTCCAAAAAAGCAGGACGTGAAAAGTGGTACATTCGTATAAATGGTAGGTAAGGAACAGGCTAGAAAACCTAAATACAACTAGGGTTAACCATGTCCAAAATACGTCTAAAGGATTCCATCACAGCAAACTCAGTCAGTCAGTAGCAATGTAGAACTTCGTACGTACGTTCGAGTTGCCACACCACATTAGCACAGAGATGCAGTTGTCGATTACAATCCCGTAGTGGTAAAGGTAGTAAGAGTATAAGCAGTAATCGGACAGATTAGGGTTTGGAGATGTTATTCAAAGAGTATAATCTAGTGAAATAAATTTGGGAAGAGAAAAGAGACAAGGAGGAATCAGGAAATTAAAATTTGAGAGAACACAAAGAGTGGATGAACATGCGCCATTGCAAACGATTTTGAGCCATGTCATTCAGGGTCTTTAACCATCAGTTGCTATCATCTCGCGGTCCCCAACCAGGTAGTCTACACCTACCAACATGACTCAGTCCACTTGTCAGTGACTTCATGGACTTGTGCCATGTTTTGGTCTGGCCGCACCTAGCTTTTCTCCAATCTACTCCTATACCACTGAACATCGCACGCTGAGGCAGTCGGTGGTTGGGCATACGTAACACGTGTCCCAGACATCTCAACTGATGAAGTTTCATCACTTCATCAATTGATTTACCATCCTTACCTAGTATCCGTTTCCTAACAACTGCGTTACTTACTCGATGGTCCCAGGATATACGAGCAATGCTTCGAAGATACCTATGACCGAATACTACTAACCTACGAATATCCTCCACTCTTACCGGCCATGTTTCACTGCCATAAAGTAGGATGGAACGAACTGCTGCATAGTAAACACGTCCTTTGATTGAGAGACGGATATCTCGCCTACGCCATAAATGACGCAAGTTGGCAAAAGCTAGTCGAGCCTTCTGTATCCGTGCTGAGATTTCGTCACACACCAGACCACAAGGGCTGATGAGACTTCCAAGATAAGTGAAGCGATCGACACGCTCAACTACTCCACTTCCTATCATTTGTTCGGGTATCGAAGCAACCCAATCCTGAAGTAACATTTTGCATTTCGAGGGGGAGAATCGCATCCCGGACATGCTTGCATTGTTGCTTAGAGTGGTCAGAAGACTCTGCATTTTGTCATCGTCTTCACAGCAAACTAGTATTTTATTTGTTTACACATAAATATTGGTACAAGAGGGCACAAAATAGACATGCGCCGCATAAATCATTCGATTTGTGTGAGGGCTAGGTTACTACCTGGGCTCCCAAACCGCAGGTGGTTTTCCTAGGCGGGGCCACATAAAACTGTCGACTATTTAACAATCCTTCGTAAAGATAATTTAACATTAGCATTCATAATGTATTTCTGTCGGATGACAGTGAAAAGCAATCAATGTGGTGTCCGATAGCGAACGGAATACTTAACTTTGAAGTAATAATTGACATTAATATATATGTTTCACAAATATAAATCCAATTGTGGACACCAAGACACTGAATGGAGACGAACACATTAACTGGCATCAATAACGTACAACGCGAGAATCTCTTTAGGGGGGACTTATTCAGGTGGACATTGTGAATGCAAACAAAACAGCTGTGTTACTATGATGAAAATTATCAAGTCTCGTCACACATTGTATACCAAATGTAATTGAGCTTGGTACTATTTACCCTTTCCGTCGGAGTCTAAAGATAAATACTCAACAAGCAATTCGATTAACATAATCGAGAAAACACAAGTAAAACTCACATGTTGTAAAAAGCGAGAAGATACCGGTTGCTGAATATTCACACCATTATCAATATCAAGACGACCTGCTATATGCATGATTTCTTTAATGATTCTTTGACAATCATCATCTAACTTGACAAACTCCTGTGCTAAACTGTTTCTTAATTTAGTAACGTGGTCAAGAAAATTTTTTGATAATGATAAATTCTCCATAGGATTAGGAGCAGTGATTAGGGTTATTATTTCCTCGTCATCGATAGTCTTTTGCTGCAGGAGATCTCTTAAGTTTTTAATTTCTTGAATTAGTCTAGACAAACGAAGAGAACGAGAACGCTGATGAATTACATCACACTAACATTAGTTACTTTTTCAAGCGTTAGATGATCAATGTTTTCTTTTAAGATTTTAATTTGTTCAGTATTTGGGACGTGTATGAATGTCTCAGGAACAGAAGGTTCATCAAGCCGCGCGCACAAATCTTTCTCCTCTTCTTTAAGCAAATTGTATGTCTGAAGAATTGAAGAGGACTTTTCAGTGAGTGCTTTAAAATGATCGTAAAACAGTTTTTCAGTCATTACAAGCGATGATGTTTCAGAAATATTGTTGGTTAACCCAAGCTCTGACTCGAGTTCTTTAATTTTTACCTGTGCAATATAATGAGGATTGATAAAACCAGAATGAACCTTTAATTCCTTGATTGAGTCAATGATAGACTGCTTCGCTAAGATTTCTTCACTATACATTTCATCCAACATTAAGAACAAATGAGAAGACAGAGAATGAATTCGCAGTCGCAAATTTTCTCCTTCTAAACCCATGGCATTCCAAATGTCAGCTATCTTGCCCAATCTCTGTGATAATTCGCCCAAAACATCATTGACCCAATGAGATAACATTGATAGCCCGCCAAAGTCAACAATAACTAGTCGTAGTCTGGAAAAATGCACTCAAAATACAATGTACAAATCATAAAATGTTTTCAAATAAACCCTTCACTTTTGTTTTTATCTTGTATAAGGTAAGTAATGGATTATTCTTAGTCAACTGAAACTCTATTACTTATGGTTCTGTTATACGGAAATATGAAGTACTGCACTGTGTTCGACTTAATAATTCGCTCTGCAGAAATAACAAGTTATTTTTCCCCTGAGGTATGGGATAGCACAAAAATCATCCGGGATAAATAAAATAAATATAGTTATTATTTCATGTCTTGAAAGCCTAAATGAATAGGGACTAGATAAGGAATCATTAGTAAACGATAAGAAGAGGCAATCGTGAAAGAAAAAACATTGTGATTTTCTGCTCGGCAATACAAACCAATCACAAAACCGGTATTAAACTCTGAAACTCTATGCTGAAAGTTCTATATATCGTACAAACATGATACTCAGTAAAAATAATAATAATCATGAAACTAATAACTGTAGATGAATATATGAAAACTAAAAAGATCTGCATTCCACACTGAACTTGTTGAGAAGGTCAGAAATAGTGAATGTGGGAACGGTTATTCGATATAGCGTGCCCTGGTTACACAGGTGTAGTCAATATGTAACTTCCTCTGTTCCATATCAAATATGTTATTCCATTCCCAGTCCAAATGTGTTCTTCAAAAGTGCTAAACAGAATATTTCTGGCCCTCATGATAGCACGAGTGAGAATATACGACGACATGACTTCCACATAGACTAGGTATTCACATCATGGCAAATATACAGTTTCGTGATCAGGTCTTTTATTCCAATAGAAAAGAAAACTGCTCTTAATGCCGATTTAGACAATAATCCTGCAACATTTCCTCTCTATTTGCATAGTTGGCTTATTTAATTTCCATAGTGTACCCTTTGGTTTCCTCCTTTTGCTTGCTTTGTTACATGGTTAGATGGACTAGATTAAGTATACATGCATTAACGTACACATGTTCGGGTTTTGACCCAAAAACTGCAAAGCTCGAGCAATTCGTTCCGAAATGTTCATTTATACCTAAGTTTGTACAAAACTTGTGGAACGAAAAGGTCCTGACCAAACAGAAAATGAAACTAGCGAGTAATGATCGATAATATACTGATATTACACAGCTAAGTTTGTCGTTGTTCTGGTTTTGTTGTCCGAACTAAAGCGTCTATGTTGTTTTAGCACTAACCACGAACAACTCCGAATTTAATCCAATGAATAAGACGTATAATTTCTTTCGGTAATAAAGATGATGTGGAAAGAAAATGCTTAAAGAACGTAAAATGAGTGTTCAAATCCACGTATTTTTGATCCTACAGCCATTAGCACACTTCCTCTCTACTTAGAATCGTATTAAATGTCATGTCTTGTGACTATATTTACGATTGATTGGTATCTGAACGGACTAATTACACAGAAGCAATTGCATCCCTTTAATGCCTGTTAAAGAACCATGTTCGGTTAGTTGTTTTGTTTTAGCTAAAGCGTTAAGTTCGAGTGTTAATCGATATTTCAATATGGCAATACACGTAGGAATCGATCAATAGACAAATTGAATGAATTAGTTGCAATTGGGTTGGAATCAGATGGCATGGCTCGACCTAGCAGGCGTGGTCACTCTAGAGTGTTGTCTTACATCTTTTATTTTTATTAAATATATCGTTCTATCTCTAGCTTAAGTTTGTTCTCCATCACATATTGGTGACTGTTACGATGCGATGAGTTGGTGTAGACATTCATGTGTCTTCCACGTACGATCTTATAGATTAGGCAGTTACATCATGACAAGTCTACAATTTTAGGATTAAGTCTATTATTAAAGCAGTATTAGAAACGAAGTAGACCATAATTCTACAGATTTGCGTTCAACATATAGCACTTGGAGTAGGTCAATTATAGTGAACGCGGGAAGAATTGATCGAGACGTTATAGATCGATCATGCAGGCGCGTTCAACATATGCTCCCGCTTTTTGTATGAAACATATCACTCTCTTCCTAGTTCAAATGAGTTCTTCAGAAATGTCATGCGTCATGTTGCTAATCGTCACGATAGGTGAGTCAGCATAGAGAATGATGTGACTTCCACATAAGATCTTATAGATTACGTGGTTACATAGTGGCATATCTACAATTTTGAGATTAAGTCTATCATAGTAGTGCAAGTACCGAACTACAGCATGATAACACTGGGTCCTTCGTATGTTTTTTCCAGACATTAGCACCACCACTCAACAACGGAGAAAACCACCTTTTCAGAAGTGATGTCTTTGAAGTGTACTGTTTCTGGTCATCGACTGAAACGGTCTACAGACGCTTAGATGTAAGGGTATCTGTTTGAATCTGGTAATGGTCCTACCAAATCAAGATAAACATGGTAGAAAAGAGTTTTGGCAGTCTTGCGAGAGTCTAAGGGACCTTTGTTCTGTTTAGTTACCTTTGATTTCTAGCAGTTTATACTGGAGTGTGACCACTCGCTCACGTTTTTATCCATTCCAGGTCAACAAAATCTTTCTGAGATGAGACTGATGGATGCTCGAACACCTGGATGAGAAAGTTTGTACAAAGTTTTGAAGACATCACGTCGATAATGTTTCGACACGATTGGACAATCCCTACGAGTAGGCGTTACAAAGCAACATTTTCATACCTGTTCCTATCTGTTTGATCTATAGAGGCTAATTTCCCCTATATCTGACTCCAATAAATAATATCCCGTTAACTGAGTATTTAAGGCAGGCTAAATCTCCCAGTAGAATTGTGGGTTTACTCGAGATTATTCAAAAGCCTGAACACCAGTTATGGAGATAGTTTATTGTTAAAGATTGGTAAAATCCGCAAGCGTACGGGGAGCAGACACACAACGAAAACGAGTATGTATGTGTATGGATGTTAAATATCCATATATGTTTATTAGTGTTAATCAAGTGTGGATAAATTATTGGTTGTCTGTGTATTACAACCAATGGGAGAATAGATTCAAAATTGATGTGTAGACATGTGCCCAGTCAGACTCACACAAGTTTCGACCTCCAAAAACGTCATCGATGAATCTTTGGAAAGTTTGTGTAGCATTGCTTAAACCAAAAGGCACGCTCAAAAATCCGTAGTCTTCGAAGGGAGTGATTATAGCCGTTTTAGGTGTGTCTTTCTCAATGACAAGAATTTGGTTGTATGCTTTACCCGGGTCGACATTTGGGAAATCTGTTTTACTTTTTTATGGTAGTTTTCAGGTCATGGGTGTTCGGCGAGGGATAACGATCGTAAGTGATCATCACACTCAGTCGTCGTTCATCATCAGCTGGACGCCAGTCGTTGCTGTTCTTTTTAGGGACCATGTGCAAAGGAGATGCCCATGAACTGTTTGATGGTCGAATAATTCCCAGATCTACCATGTGATATATTCCGTTTTTGGACAACCTTGTGGTGTGTGACATTACTGGTTACTCTGTGTTCACCGGCCACGGTTACAGTTGATGTATGTTGGCTGGTAATTTTCCCGTGAGCTCTTTCATGACGAAAAGTCTGAGGAACCAAGGGGCTATCTACAATTCCCAGAAGACGTACCGTGAGTGTTCTGGTGCCACCATCAATCATAGTTATCTATCTCTCATGGCCTAGAGACAGATCTTTCACGTCACGGGTTTTTAGGCAGCGTCCGTGATTATGATGAACACTGAGATAACGAGTCAGATTATAACAAAGGTCTTCGGTGTCAATTTGTGTTGTCTGAGGCTTTTTTGACCGAACAAAAATCGAAGCTTGTGGCTCTAGTGATCTCCGGAACCCGTCGACAGATGAAGCAAGTTCGTCTACGGCGTTATTTTGCGATGAAGTAAGAACCGCCTGAACCTGTTGGGAGAGCTTGAACTCGAGGAGCTTTCTAAGCAGACCCTCATCAAATATCCGTTGACCAATGACCTCTCAAATTCGTAGAAACATTCCTGTTGCCGAGCCATTTTGCGACTCTACGTCCTGGAAAATTTGGTCTAACCTTTGTCGATGTTTAAGAATAGCCTACTTTAAAGTGTCGTAAGTTCCCGAAACATCACTGGTGAACATGATTGGTGTGACATAACTGTTAAAATAGAATGGTAGTGCCTTGACTACAACAAAGAACTTTACACGAGAGTTTGCCACTCCGTGCTCGAGAAATTTAGCTCTTGGGTAGCCAAACTAGGCTTCTATATCATCGGGCCGGAATGGCATGATTTGAATGGTGAGGGGTGAAATAATCAAAACCTGGAACAATTCGGGTGTTCGTTCCGCCATAATGAAGATAAAATATGTCAGTGAGTGAATGAATATATCCCAAAATACAATAACGACACCACCATATGTAAAAGTAAAAAAAATGAAAATATTATATGAATTTTACAACAAGGAACGGACTCACTGTATACGGATTGAAACGCTAGATCACGTAGGGCTCACCACTAAAGATTCCAAATGTATTCGGAGTTCGATAACTCTTTACGTTAGACTTTTATAATTAGAGTATACTAACACAGTCAGATCAGAAGTCAGAAATAAAGTGGTTCTAAGCTGACCAGCAATTACAAGGAGGAGCGTGGCACGACTTACCCACTCGCGATCTGGCGCGTATATGTGATCGAGCGCCTTCGGCCAGGGTTTTCCAGTAAAGCTGATGTGGTCAGCATCACTGTCGAAAACTTACTGAACTATTGATGATGTCACAAGTATTCAGTGTTTGGCAACGCTTCTACCAGTAACACCTTCTAATGTATTTCGTTCCCACCCAGAGAAATCAAAAGACAGAGTCGAGGAGATCGGAAGAGTATATTTGGCGATGACCAATATATCGGAATTCTCTGATCTAATCTGGCTAGCGATTGCGGTTGATGTTGAGCACGGCGTTACCACAAGTGATCTGGTGCGGATGCCTGACCGAGCGCCTTCAGCTAGATGAGTCCACTAAAACATATGGTCAGCATCC